AAACAAACAAACAAACAAACAAAACAAACAAACAAACAAACAAACAAACAAACAAACAAACAAACAAACAAACAAACAAACAAACAAACAAACAAACAAACAAACAAACAAACAATCAAGAAATTTATTCAAGGTACCTTAATACAATTAAATTTAAGATATACAGGGTGTCTCAAACCCCCCGAAAACTATTGAAATAACGTATTGTTAGAATTTGGATGCTTAGCACTCACTCTGCTGAACCCACACGTACGTGCATCAAAGCTTGACGTAAGTAAATTTTATGCATAAACAAACTATTCAAGAAGCTGAATGATTGAAAATCATGCCCTTTATAAAGATATTTTAATTTCTTAAGTCAATATTTAATATATGCACCCTTGTCAATATTTTACGCATCTTTGCTTTCAGCTTCGCGCTAGGGCATTCAAATTTTAACAATACGTTCAATGGTTTTGCGGGTTTTTGGGACACCCTGTATGATAAATTCCTCCAAGGCATTCAAATTATAACAATAGCATAATTTTTAAAGGTCTCCTTTTTAAATTTAGACACCATGTTAATTTGTACATGAAAATTCTAATTGAAAGTTAAAACGACTTAGAGATTAGTCCTGTCAGTTGTGTCAGTTCGATTAAGAATGGTTCGACTGACTGCAGAACAAAGCTATTTTACTGTTCAGTTTTACGCGCTGCGTTAAGTTATAGTCAGTACATAATAATGATGTTTGTTGCTATATGCATAGTCAGGGCAAATCATATCTGTGATTTTTATTGATACTTCTGGAAGTGCTGGATTGGAAACTATTCGTTGTATTACATTAGGTAATGAAACTGGCGTTGAGTTACATACTGGCTCTTGGTTTAGTCTATTAAATAGTCTGTCCACAACTCCGTTTATAATTCTATTGTCCATGAGTAGTATAGGGAAGAAGGGTTCTGGGTCGGGCGAAGCGGGTGGAGCAGTGGAGCTCCACCCATGACGTCTTCAGAGAATATTTTCTTATTAATCATATGCGTTTATAATGATGTATTTAAACGAGTGTAGACCAATGATTACTAGCATTTTAAGAAAATTTATACAGTTTAATATTTTCCTAATATTTATCCCCTGACATATATTCCTTCTAAACTGAATGAATTGTAACACATTCTCGGTATATATTCTATTGAAGTTGTTGTAATGTTTGTGGGACGTGGATAAAAATGCATAAACAGTAGCTTGTTCCTATAACCTGCTGATAGCCCAGTTTATTCAAAATTCCCCCATATCATAAACGACCATAGAAATAAAGTATAAAAGGTGTACTTGAATTCATCGTATTACAAGATTTTATTAGATTATCTTGAGTTAGAGTGTCCACTACTTTAACACCATCCTTGGTTTTCCCTGGAGATGTATTCACCATGTTTAGGACTATTAAACAAGGAATAATAAAAGTCCAGATATACATATAAAAATTTTTAAACAGAACTAAGCAGTTGCTAAGCCCAAGTTAAAATCGTTGTCAACGCCGTTCTTATGGTCGATATTTGCATATTACAGAGTCATTAAAAAGTGATTAACCCACCCCATGTAGATACAATTTATACTTCACTCAGCGAGCTTGAGACAAAAAATACTAACGAACAGAGAGTTATTACAGATTATATGTAAGATATATTGAAATTTTGTCGTCTAAAACGTATACCACCAAAGTCATTGACAGTCATTAATGGATTACAAGCTAAATTTTAATCTCTTAAGTGCTTATTATGGATAGATAGGGATTATTTATTACCTTAAAATCGGGCGCGTGGCTTTGCAGAATGTGGCATAATTATAGCGCTTTTGCAGAATGTGGTATAACTAAGTATGCGCTGGATATGTGCAAATTTGGTCCTTGGCTAAGCAATATCCATCGCTGCCGTAAAAATCTTCGAGCTTGAGTTATCGAACGTCTCCCGCCAATTTCTAATTGAACGCAATATTCTGTTGTTGGTTTCGATTCGGTTGGTAGCCGTCCAAAGAGTCATTGAACGCATACCAATTTGTCTTTGAATCACGAGTTCTAGCAAGTACTCGATGATATCGCTTCATTGCAAACAAATCGAGTCTGATGTGAGTTTGGTCGTGCAACACACAAACGCACCATTTGAACCATACTCATTCGCGCAATTGCATTTGGCGCGCTATAGCGCATATATATTGCCTTTGCCATCGATATCAGTGTACGGTTACATTGGTATAAGTTTTGACAGCTATCTTCATTGCAGTGATAAAATTTCCTTTGAATAATCCCTGCTGTTTCCTAATCGGAAACTGACTCTTTTTCGCATACACCATTAACACGAAATATAGCGTGTTTAGTAATAATATATCTATATTTTTTTCAACAACAAAAGCGACTATAACATAATCTAAAACTTCGTATTGTAACAGTTATCTGCATATGGTAATGGTTTTTGCATTGTGTACTGTACTATATTATTACTTCCAGTTAGTGCCATTGTTGTAATATCGAAACCAGCTTTTCTTAGAGTATCGTACAATTTATTATAACCATTTGACGTTGCTTTATAACACCATCCTATTTCTAAATAGTGAAGTCCACACGTCTCTTCACTTAATGCATCACCAAGCATTTCTAAACCTTTATCTGTTATGTAATTGTGTGAAATATCCAATTTGCCAAGGATAGAATTTCTAAGAAACTTGCAAAGTTCTAGAACTGCTTGGTCAGTTAAATGATTTTGAGAAATATCCAGTTTTTTCAGCTCTCTTACGTGAACTAAGAAATCAAACAAGCCTTTGCAATCAACTGGGGATATATCTAACATATTCAAGTCCAGATAGCCGTTTTCAGTAATGTCCAACATGCTTGCTGCGTCTTTAGTGATGTTATCGTCTTGAATTTCGTTCAAACATTTTATAGCAAACAAACCAATTCTCTTTTTGGGGCTTTCAAGGACTAGTCGAGTAGACCACTGAACGAAGCTACAAAAATGCCATAAAATACAGTTAATAACCGTTTCTGGTTCAGTTCTCTTTATTAAATTTTTTGGCAGATTTTTTAGTTTAAAATCTGTTTCACTCGGTTTTGGCGCAAAAACAAGAGCGGGCTGTTGCGTTTCAGAGTTGGCCGTATAAAAAAACTGGCCAGCCCTGTAAAGTTCGTCAGCCAATCAAATTGCTCCATTCACACCGATATATAAATATAAATATCTATATTTTTGTTTCCCTTCTGAAATAATTTTCAGCTTAAATAATGAAGACAGGGGCGTAGCGAGCGACTCAGGATTGGGGGGGGGGGAGAAGGGGCGTCATACAATAAAGACCAACTTTTTCAATGAAAATGACCAACTTTCTCTTTTCTACGTGGTGCAGTTTCTTCTTATTGGGGGTAATACGAGAGAGTTCATGCAAATCTGCACAGCCGTGTAATCTGCACGATATTAATCATATGTAATCAGCTAACAATGAATGTTTAACACTGAATAATTATTAATAAAATTACACTCGATATATTTAATTTATTTGAACTAATTCTTTAAGACTTCCATATACAGCATAGGAAAATGATTGTGGCTACTTGTTAAATGTGCAGTCCACAGCATTTGCAGTCTCACGGTTTCGAGTATCTCGGCGCAGGGTGGGACATCCCAAAATATTTTTAGGGCTGGGTGTAAAATATTTCGGTACCGACTTTTTACGTGTTTACATTTGGAAGCGACGAGTATATCTAAGGAGAATCGTATTGATCTTCGAATCTTTGAAATGGCATTTCTTTATTGGGTAATTGAGCATCTATGGTACTATGAATTGAACCACAGAAAATCTTTTCCCCAGGGGTTTGCAAAGAATTGCTTTTTAAATCACTTTTTCGCACAACGGCCCACGGCCTACGTCGTTTTGAACATTTCTCAAAATTATGAGTGTAGCACCCCCACAGCCCTCTAATGTTTGCCCATGTCTCTGCGATAAACGCTAGAATTGCAAGACCTGTGTTGATTGTGAAACTATCAGAGTTAATGACAAAAATTGCAGGTCCCAAAACAAACACTACAATTGATGCGCGATGCACATTACAAATAAATTTAATCGCATTTTTTCCTTAATATATTTTGATCAAAAACAAATTTGACCAAATTTCAATATTGATGAAAGACGGTGTGTTTCTATTTTTTTCAAATGTTATCGCATTTACTCTTACTATTTCCTTTGACCAACAACAGAACATTTTGACCACTTTTTAATTGGTTTAGAAATATTGAAGGGGGCGTCGCACCCTCCCAAGCCCCCCCCCAGTCGCCACGCCCCTGAATAAAGACATGTACTTATTATGCATAACTAATGAACGGTCCCTTGTGATTTCAACGGATACTTGGCAAACAATCTTATACATGTCGTGTATATATTTCACAATACTTAGGTAATTACCGTGTATTTTGACTGGAGCGTGAGTATTTTTTCTATTTACCCTTACAAGTTGCAAGGATTTTAGCTGTTGTTCGTATTACTCCAGCTGAACACACAACTTAACTAAATGAACAATAAAGGCCAGATCAAGCGAGGATGAGAGTGCATGAGAATTGGCAGTCACGCGAGTGACACAATCTTGGTTAGCTGTTCTTAATGCTTTACCGACACTAACATACATTCTATTTAAGTTAATACAATGTTGCAACACTCACCAAACCTTTGTTTTCTTAATCTATAGGGCCTGAAATGCTCCCGGTTATAATTCGTGACTGCCAACCCTCATCAACTCTCATTTTCTTTTGGCCAATGTTTAACTTTTATTGTATATTTACACGCAGGTCCGCTCGGTTGCCATGAGGAAGAGGTGTAGTTGTGGTTTGGTTTTTAAAGTTGTTTTAAAAATTAAAGATTTTCTGATTTGGATATGAAATTCTGGAAAATTTTTATTTGTTTAAAAGCAAAGAGTGTCTGACTTGTATAACACAATAACTAAGGAGTTTCTAAGAATTTTTAAAAAAGTACTCCTAACTGCCGTTGCTATGGCAACAATGACGTCTCAACATGGCGGATATTTTATGTTTAAAGTAATTTAACTCGAAAAAAACTTTGGTGACCCCCATTTTTTATTTCATAAAATGATTTCTTTTAGTATTTTGAATAATATTTATGATTTTACAAAATTCTATCATGGCAAAAAAAATTTAATACGAATTTTCTCATTTTCCTATCTTGAAAAAATCATGGAAATAATACCAATAGTAATCATTTTATGAAATAAAAAATAGGGGTAACCGAAGTCTTTTTCGATTTAAATTGCTTTAAATATAAAATATTCGCCATGTTGTAACGCCATTGTTGCCATAGCAACGGCTTTCGGAGTAGCTTTTGAAAAATTCCGAATTTTTTAGTTATTGTGTTATTTTTAAACAAGTAATAATTGTCAAGAAAATCATATCCAAATCCGAAAATCTTTAATTTAAAAAGTGTAGGCACTGTAGGGAGCCACCTTAATTGAAATGTAGGCGCGGTTGTATACAAGACGGAACAATCTGTTGTTTATCGTCGTAAATACAGCAAAGCGACTCTGTCTAAACCTTCCGTTGGTTTTAAGTGAACAAGACGCCTGCTCAGGCGTTCACACTGGCCTGAAAATAACGAAATACGTGCTATGGTGCAAAAGGCAGGAATACAAATCTTAAACCGCAAGCAAATTTTATGGTCTTTTTAAAAAAATAAAAGACCTTTTCGGGAGACGTAATTGAGATCGATGCACGTGCAAATTATGCCGACCTACAGAATCGATTTCCGGTTTTTCCTAACAGCGCGTTGTTTTCATGTGCGTTCCATGAACCGCGCTAAAATATAAATATTCTGTAATAACCGAAATAAAAGATGAAAATCTCAAGACAGAAGCTTGAAAATAACACTATAAATAATGTTTTCGATTCTGGTTCCAATAACATTATCACGAAAAAGATATGTCCAAAGGGGCCGAAGTTATGTTCGACAAAATGTATGGCTAGTTTACATTGTTTGTTGTATTATGAAATATGATACCATACTTGTATTAAAATTCGCGTCAGACTAATGTTATTGTAAATGAGTAGACTTCGAACGAAATGCGACCTCGAACGAAATGCGTTTCTTGGATGTCGACTTGTGGCAAGTCTAGCAAATGAGAACCATACAAATGATACAATAATGGTTCTAGTTCTTGTTGGTATTTTGAACGCACGCTTTATCTTTAGTATAGCTATCACAAAGCTTTTAGCGCGGATTATATTTCATGGAGTACTAAATATTATATTTTGTGGTTTTCGAGTCATTACAGAAAGAAAAACACATTAATTCAACACGCAAGAAAGTCCAGAGTACGACGCAACGTAAAATACATAGGAAACCGGCACAATTATTTGAAAATTCAATGAAACTGCGTAAAATATAGTTTGATTGACTCTGTGAAAAGCCCCATTGCAGTTCGGAATTGTGCGCGTGCGTACAAGTGTATAGGCTAATAAACGAAAAATGTACCACAAGCATGGCATGAGTCGACAATTACGTACATATATACAAGCTTATTACTATACTATCTAAAACATGGAACCGAGGGAATCGATGGCATTTTGGCTTAATCGTTGCACCCCGAGCCTGCGATGAGCTAACGCAAACTCGATTTCTCGACTACGAAAAAAACAGAAAAAGGGGGATTTAAGACACTTGGCCTTACAGGCCAGTGTAATTATTCATTCATATTAATTTCATTGTATCCTGCATAGTAAAGTATTCATTAATTCGAGATTGCATCAATATCGATTAAAAGGATGAAAAACAGTTCATTGAGATGTTGTTAGGTTCTTCCCGGACACTATTATATAAAAAATATCGATTCTTACCTATCATATACAATGTTTTCCAGTTTGCTTAATACATGTGCGTTTTCTATCTTTGTTGTGTTGAGAGTTGGTGATGACGACGTACTAAAAAGACCAATAATTTATTTTGTAAATACCAATCTCATTGGCTCTAACTAAATTATGTGTCCCGCATAAGTATATTCTAAATAAGATGCCGTCGTTTGGATCTCAAGAAGAATCTGAAAATGATCGACTCTTCAGGACGTCCGTCATTGTCAGACACAAACCCATGTACAGAAACTTATTTTAATTAGTGTGATATAGACATATTATAACGCTCTCTTTTCAGTAATTAGGTCATTATTCCGGCATTTCTTTATTTCATGCCCAATCAATCCGGCGAGGAATTGTATAACTAGATGCCATCGTGGTTCATTGACTTTTGTCTTCAAGAACTCAGATATGCAGTTAATATTGTTTCGAGAACGAAAGAAGATATGCAATGCAGCAAGATATTCTTGTATCGTAAGGTGTAGAAATGAGTAGCGATTGCGGAATTCATCATCTATCTTCACTAACAAACCACAATTTTCGAGATGGACTCGATCTTCTCGAAGTTCAAATTCCAATTTTCTCTGATCAAGTTCAGCCTTGGCAATATCTGCAAGCTGAATGACGTTGCTCGGTAACTTTGCTTCAAACATGTAGCCTTTCTTCTTTTGTTTTGTCTTGAACAATTCGTGATGTTCATGTAGTGCGATAGTGACATATCTTCTATATATCTCCGTGACAGTCAGTGAGTTCCTTGTGCTTGGGAGACAAAACTTTCTTTCAAGGTTGAGCAAACTATTTTGCAGCTTACTGGGATATAACAAATGCTTAATAATTCTGCGGACTGCTTTATTATATCCCATACTTTTGTGTTTAGTTCATCGTTATTTTCAGAAAATTTAACCACAAACTCCTTAATTTCTGACTCAGTAAAACCCAAAATTTCCAGCTTCTTGTCGAAATTATTTAATTGTTGGTATAGTTCATCCTCCGTTCGTCGAGTGGTTGTTACGATGGTGACATTGGGTAGGAAATTGCCTCGTATTAACTTGACATAAAGGGAAAATATTGACATGGTTAGTTTGGGATCATTTTGGGTGATCTCCTTTTCTTGCCAGCATTTTTCCAGGTCCACATCCAATTCATCCAAACCGTCAAAAACAACAATAACTTTTTCTTGATTCAAGTTTATAAACTCATACAAATCTTGAAATATTTGTCCTCTTGCCGTAGGTGTAACTCCATCACCATGAGCAAAAAGAGTTAAAAGATTGTGTCTCTTGTTGTTTTCATGATTAAACTTACGAAATGCAAGACGTATGACTAGTTTACCTTTCCAGAACGTCACCTTCTTCTTCTTCCATTCTTGTTGAATCCGTTTTGTGAGTTCAGTTTTTCCAATGCCAGGTCTTCCTACAATCAGAATTAGTCGAGGTGCGTTATTCTGGTTGTTTGTTGGTTTAAAAATGTCTTCGATATTCTCAATTTGTTCTTGTAGTTTATCCAGATGAACATCGTACATTTCATGTCTTTCCTTATTTCTGTTTACGTGAATGATAAGTTTTACAAAGAAATTTGTGTTCACAGTTGGGGAATTACGTATATTTCTGATGATGCTTCCAATATTCTCTCTTCGTTGTAAAATATAAACAGAACAAAATTCCATATCTTCAACAAGACAAAATTCGTCATCACTTCGTTTCCAACGAAAGATAAAAATCACTTCAGCTAGAGCAAGTGACGCAAAAATCACATCAATCAAAGCAACTGCTTTCGCTAAGGTTATCTTTTTTGTTGCCATATTATTAACACAAGGAATTGTATTGAGAGGGGAACGCCAAGGGCAAGAAAAGTTCGAAGGAAAGTTTATAGAATAGAAAATAGCAAAAGCGAAGAGTAACAAGAGAAAGAAACGCGTGAAAAGCAAATGCAAAATATAAATATGAAACAACAAGATGCCATTCTTAGTTTCCGCCATTCCTTCGTTTCTATCTTCTTTGTTTGGTACAATATCCCATCTAGCCACTCGAGATTTGGCCCAAGACGCATAGAGAATAAAAAAGGTCAAGACTATGGCAAAATTGAAAGCAACAAGCACTCCAAAAGGTATCTTCCAGTGATATTCCTCTTCGTATTTTGAGAAACATGTGATATGGACAAAATTCTGACTTGAAGAGATCTCTTTAGGTATCGGACTACAACGAATGTTTGTCTTTGCATCAAAGTCATTTGCAATAGGAATAATAAAGACGCCACATAGAAAGAACAAAAGTACGACAACGTTGCCGAAATTATTATAACTCTTACGTGGTATATACTGAAATAATTTCTCTAACATTATTTTATGATAAAATAGTAGATGGTCGACTGTGCCGTTGTTTTAATAATCTAAAAGCTAGCCAAGCTAACGGGTTAAGTAAATGAAATCACTAACGGTAAAAACAGGATAAATTAAAAACCTGTTTAAAATAATTCAACACCTGTCTATAGTTATCACACATCAACGACCAAATATATACGTTCATTTTTGTTCTCATTTGGGGGGGGGGGGGGGG